TAGTGAATGTCGGGTTCATTCGCCCCAACAAGGCATTTAAGATGAGACTATTTAGATAGAAATCGCCTGCTGGAATAGTCCTCAATTTCCAATCTCATCGCAAAAATAGACTGAAGATCAGAATTATGAGGAGCTTGATCATCATAAGTCTAAGATTAATGGGCATTAAGCTCTGGGAAGAAATATTAAACAAACATTTAACGACCGATCCCACAGAGAAGCCATATAAATAATATAAGAAAAATTAGGTCTATAAAGAGCTGATGGTGGACAAACGGACTTGCTCTGGATTTTATCGCATTACATATAACAATTATGCTCAGAAATAAATTGGTGAGGCAGAAAGAAAAATTAGCTCACCCATCAAGGAACACCAGAGACCTTATATAAAAATGGATATGGAAATATCCGAAATAACAGAGCTCATTCCATGGACGAGACACGAAGTCGACTTGAAGACAGTATATGGTGAAAATAGAAGAAAATGCAAAATTAGAGAAACCGTTGATATCCGGATTGAAATAAGTCTAATGAACCAGAGACTGGAAGAAGACAGAATTAGCGAAATCTTTGTGTATTCTTAAGCAAACTTGGAGAAAATCAGCAAAAAGGAGTCTAGAGGAAAAGGAATAACAATGAAGAGACGCTCGAGGGTCAATTGGAAATCAAGGCAAGACGTTTGCCGTAAGCCTAGTCAAGCCAAATGAGCAAATACAGCGTTTTGTGGGTTGGCACACAAGAGACTAGGGGTAAGTAGAGCCGGCTATTTTGCGTGATTGATAGAAGTGTGAAAGAAATGTGATCAGAAGTCCATTCAAGAGATGCGGAGAAGGCCAGAAACAATTGCTTCACAATAAACCGGTTTGATGACATACGTGATCCAGGAAGTAAGGGTTCAGCTACGAAATTTTATAGGCTCATACGCAGTGAGACCATGGAAACTAAAGTGTCACGCCTATTTTTATTCAGTTTGAGAACCCAGGCTCTGGGAGCCTGCTTGATGAGCTACAGTATACTTGTTATCAAATGCCCAATGCAAAACTTAAGAAATAACGCCTCGAGTAACCGGAATTCATCGGCACTGAACAAGGAAGACATGAGCTGTACTCTTCATGTCACGAGGACGACTGATAGAACCTGGATGAAGTGGATTACGAACTGAAAGTGCACAGTTGAATCAGCATTTCCATCAGTCAGTGGATGTAAATAGACCTCACTAAACCCGCTGAGAAGGGCACATTTCTCGAATAGATGAAAATATGCAAGTTTTAAATTGTTATAGTGAAGGAGATACAACGATATGGGATAGTGGGATATTCCAAGACAAAAGAAGAAGTAATTGTCTATCAGAAAGATGTTCAAAAAATGAACTAATCTTAGCTGTTTGGTGAGTTGTAGTTTGGATTTAGGACTTTGTTCGTTATGGAGTAGGTTTTCGAGACTACGAGTAAATCAGATATATGAAACGTTTTCACTCTATTTGGTTTAAGGTGATGAAGGACTGGTAGTTGAATTTTCCCACAAGGACATGAGTAGAGCTGACGTTTACATTGGATTTCACACAGCCTTGTTTTCCCAAAAGGTGTTTTTATCCAGGGTGGACTGTAGTTTCGACCTCGTATAGGCCTTATCAATATCCCCTACAGGAGTCGAACCATCACAATGCTGCGTTTAAGATCGGCACGTTAACCACTCCGCCACATTACCACTAGTGCCCTTGGGTCACAGAGCAGATGTGACTTTCAAGGAAGGTCAAGCATTTTCTATATCACATTCTATGTTGGGATTATCAATGAACCTTAGACGAAACAGTTCGAACACAACTGATATATCTTATTACTGGTAGTTTCAAAAACTTACTTAATAACGAAAAAAGTAATTTTATTGATTGCTATAGCAAATATAAGCTTGCTTTATCGTCAATCTAAACACAGAATGTGATATTTAAAATGCCTGACCTTCCCTGAAATTAACATCTGCTCTGAACCCAAGGACTATCGTGGCAATGCGGAGGAGTAGTTACAGTGTTAAACTTACACGCTGCACTGTCATGCTTCGACTCCCGCTGGGGATGTTGATAAGACATAGGCGAGGTCAAAACTGCAGTCCATACTGGATGAGAACACCTGGGAAAACAAGGCTATATAAAATTAAATTGAAACATCAGCTCTATTCATATTATTGTGGAAAAATTTAAATACAGGTCCTTCATCATCTTAAACGAAATAGGGTAAATACATCTCATATATCTGGTTTTAGGACTATCAAGAATCACTGATGCTCACCCTGACCCTAACCAAGTTTGGCATCTAACACTGGAAATTATCATGACTAGTATTGAAGAGGATTACGGATACGGTACTTTTATCTTGGTCGCCCCGGAAAGACGACCAATTTTTGAAAATGAGTCAAAATCATTTATATACAGCGAAATGAGATCCCTACTAAAATAGACTCCACACTGTTTTGATCTCTATACCTTTAATTAGATAGTCTTGGTTTAGTGATTCTATGCTTGGTACAGCTATCGTTATTTGTTTTCTTATATCTAGTAGTTTAACGACTTTACTGAAGCTCCTGGATATAGAGCCTCAGACATGACCCGAAGGTAGTGTTAAAGGCTTGTCAAATCTTTCTCCTAGACCTCCTGGAGACACATTTTAGAAAGTCCATCAGCTAAAATGTTGCTCACCTCTGGCTTTAACTGTGGTCAGGGCCAGGATTGTGAGGTCCATGCGAAGCGCAACATCAGAAATTAAGCTTCAGACAAGCAGCATCTTGATCAAAATAACGACTAACCTTCACATCTTGATTTTATGATAATCTTTTGTATGTAACACACCAACTAGACATGTAGGAAATTATTTACTAATCATATTTAGATATCACGTTTTTCACTTGCCTGAGGTGAGTTAGCCCTTACGGGATTCGAAACTTATGATAGTAGGTCTAAGAGCAGATGTGAATTTCATGAGAACAAAGTCCTGTACGGGTTTCCAGTTTTGGCTAAGGCAAACTCGAAGGTCCTACGATATTGTAAGTTCCGAAACTTCTATTACATCTTAAATAAGAAATTTAGTCGCCCAAGACCATTTTGGACTGATCTTTGCGTTTACAATGATTAGATGGATAGAAGGCCTCACTGGAGCCCGTGCCTTTGTTTGAGGGAGAGATAAGTCACTGTTTGCAATCCCATGTAGCCGGACTTTGGCGCCTTCAATACCTATCAGTACAACCACGAGCAACTGACTACTAACAATAATTCAGTAACCTATTGAGTTTAAGTAGGAGGCCAGACCATTTTTCATCAAAAATTTAACATGTCATGAACCTATTTTATCTCAAAAGTCGTGTAACTCAATGTTGCTAGGATTATACGCTTCTCGAGTAACGTGCTGCCTTCTGAAATAGCATTTTTACGGTTTGCATATCCCTTAGGGTGTTGATGAGATGATATCACGAGGTCGAAGCATTTTGAGTGAACTTCGTCGCTTATGATTTATCATTCCTGCACCATGTAGACTATGTATAAAGGAGCGAAAGTACAGTAACTATAATACTATGATAAAATCCTGTGTAGGCCATTAAGGAGCTAAATTGCCCTTTATAACATCCCAAAAGGCAGAAAAAGCCCAATGTAAAATGAACTCCGGAGCTTCTTCTTGTATATATTACGGTCCAGAGGCTATTGGAGAGCATGGGCAAAGCCATACAGTGGTACTATGTTGGAAGTGAGAGGTGAGGCACTGAAAGATTCAGGTCCAGACACCAGGTACCAGAGATAGAGCGAAAAATTGGACTAATATATTTTATTTTTCGCATTTAAGTAGACTTTCGAGACTAACAATAAATAAGTAATATGAGATCTATTCACCTAATTTCGTTTAAGGTGATAAAGGACTGGTAGTAGAATTTTTCCGCAATGATATGAGTAGAGCTGACGTTTTCATTGAAGTTCCCATTGACTTGCTTTTTCCAAAAGTAGTTTTTATCCAGGGTGGGCTACAGTTTCGACCTCGCATTGGTCTTATCAACACCCTCAATAGGAGCCAACACGCGAGAGACCGGAGGACGGATGCAACAAAATGGGGCCAGAATAGGGCTCAATAGCTGATGCCTAGGACTGGGAGTAACAACACATCAAAGAAAGTTACTGAGCAGTAAACGGTTTATTTGTCTTTTGTCTATGGCTTGAAACCAGAACAATTTGGTCCCTTAATGATGGAGCTCGTCATACAAAGCGGTAGCTGAGGGCCTGGTTTTCAGCTACCATGTGCATCTTCGCCGATTCTGTGGTCTTTTGTCTTAACAACCCCTATTTTGTTGGCCAGGCTACATGGGAAGTGTTGTGGTACCTAGGCCAGAATATCATAAAAGGCCTGGTTCGTGGGGAAAGAATGTTCGGATGAAGATTTGGCAAACATGCGTATTTGCTATCAGTTGAATCGTTTCCTCTCCCTCAGACTGGCCTGATAGACTCGGGACTGGTAGACCGTCCAGTCCAACTGCCTTTTAAGTTTGTCTCGGAACTCCGAGCGTTCCGGCAGGCTGGCGAATCCAAACCCGGTGCTGGCCTCACCTTCGCGGTCTCTGAAAGGTGCCTTGAAGAGCACAGGCGACCCTTGAGCTTCACGATACGGTTT